ACACATATATGGCACTGACCGGAACTGTTAGGCGGCATTGACTGGAACTGTTAGGCGGCACTGACTGGCACTGATATGCGGCACTGACTGGCACTGATAGGCAGCACTCATAGGCAGCACTGACTGGTACTGATAGTTGGCACTGAAAGGCAGTTGGGCACTGATATGTGGTATAGATGTGCACTGGTAGGCACTGATATGTGGCATTGATGGGCACTTACAGGTGGCATTGATGGACACTGACAGGTGGCACTAATGAGGCTACATTCATCATCTGGGCACTGATCATCAGTGCGCTGATGATCCGTGTAGATGTCCTCTCTGAGGAATGCCGATTACAGGCTCTCCTCACAAGCTGACAGCTTGTGAGCAGAGGAATGCCGATAACCGGCATTTCCTTGTTTACATGCTATCAGCTGTGATTGGACACAGCTGATCACATGACAGAGCCGAAGTCATCGGCTCCTTCCGCTGATCGTATGATGTCCTCCCAGAACGAAAGAACCACGTCCGTCACTTCCTTATATGGCAGGCGGGAGGCGGATAAAGGTCCGGGGTATAATTTGAGAAGTATTCAATGCGTTTTGGGGGTCTACGTGCCACGTTCTTCAGGGCTGGATAGAACATAAGAAGATTTCCATATCAATCTTACATCAATGCAATGTCCGCTCCACAGGGTCATAATTAAAACTAGTCAATCGTAATGAGAGTATCAAAATAATTACATAAAAATGACAACATGAGTGCTGAACAAAAATGAGAATATGGGTGCTGAAAAAAAACTGAAACAAAAATAAAAATACATTAAATAAATAAATAATAATAATACTACTACTACTACTAATAATATTAATAATCACTGTTATTAAAATGACACATTATGAGTTGCGTGATATGTTAACCTATTAAAAAAGAGGAAAGAAATTGGGTAAAATCCCTCAAAACTGGTATGTATATAAATTGTACAATCTGATTGTACAATCATGAAAAGTAAAACAAAAAAATCTAAATAAATAAATGATAGATAGTAGGTAAATATTTAAAAAATGATACATAATGAAACGTAATAAAAATAAGAATATTAAAAATACCAACAATAATAGTCATAATCACTATAATCAGTATATACATTCTTGGCAATAAATTGATCTAAAAGGAATAGATGTATGAAAATATGAGTAAAATGATAAATGTATAAGTTGAGCCATACATTACACAATCTGATTGTACAGCAAAGATGTGAGAGACTGAGATACATGAGCTCCCTTTAGATGGGGACAGAGAACCCCCCCCCCCCCAACATGGGCCAAAAAGGGTCTGTATACTGCTCTGTGAGTATTCTCTTGTTAGAAAAGCTGCACCTGCTAGAAAATATTTTTTCTTTTTTAACATTGCCTGCTCATTTGTATTATTTTATGAAGGTATGGGACAATAATAATCAATTTAGAATATATTTTTCCAAACTTTGGATTTATAAAACATGTATAGGCTATTTTTTACCATTGGGTAAGAAAATACATAGCTTAATTTTTCACGTTTAATGGTCCTTAAAGTGAAAGTTCCTTGCAAATAAACAGAGCTTTTTCCCTTTTAAGCGATTATTTGAGCCCCAGGAAAAGTAAATCGTTGGCCATATGATCTGGAAGTTATTGGTTTTGCTGAACTGTTGTATTTAGCTACTGAACTGGAAAGCTTGTCAGAAGTTATGATGTAGAAAGTCTGTTTTGTTGCCAAGTTCTGTTCAAGTAAAGTTCAAGTAAAAGGCTATGACCAGACACTCTCTTGGAAGGGAGTAGTTGGCCTGCCAATGGGGCTGCGTTTGAGGGTGCAATACAAGAACAAACGTGATGTTTCAGGTTCCATCTGTGCAGTGACGGCTGGTGTGTCTGGTGTCTGTCCTGTATTTTCCCTGAGGCAAATGAGTACTGAGGTACTGAGGAGGGTACCAGTGGCCTTGTCCTTTGCTCATGTTAGGAATGGTATTGTGAAAGCATCACTGTCAAGATGGAGCACCAAAAGGTCTCTCTGTGTGTATTGAGAAACAAAATTAGGCCAACCTGTGGACCAAATGATTTGTGAATTTTCACACACAAAAAATTTAGTGAACATTCACTTTGTTATCCACGAACTCATACAAAAAGCAGCATCCTGTTTACACATTTATCTGTACATGACTGGATAGCCGAAGTTAATTTTAAAAAAATGTATCACAGAAGATGCTTTTTAAGTCAGCCCAAGTGTTTCCCTCATCTGGCCACCTCTGGACATATGATTCTAGATGACATGAAAGAACTATGGAAGACATGTGGGCAGTGGATGTTTGGAGGAGTTAGAAGACTCACTATTCTTCAAGAAATAGAAATCACTTTTCCTTGCACTTGTTTCTTGCTCTGTACAGTTAAAAAGTGGCTGTGTTACAGGCCTCATGCACACAGGTCATCTGTTTATCCCTTCTAAACTACTTTTCACCTGGTAGGAGAAAAGTTGCTTAAAAATGTGGTTAAATACGTATTGCATGAGCGTTTAAGAGCATCTAATGTTTTTCTGCTCTTCAGATCCTGTCAGGAAAGGCTTGCCCATAGTGCACATAAAGTGCCTCAGTGCATAAATAGGTTCATGCGCAGACTGGCAACTGGCTGGACAGATGTGCACAAACATGAGCATGGGTGTTCGCGCATGTGCACTCGTGTAGCTGAGCACATGCTTATCACCAAGGCTGGCTCCAAATGGCCTATTTAAACAGAGCTACTGCACTGACTAATTGCTGTTTGTTCTGCAGATCTTGATTCCTGTGTTTGACCTCTGATCTTGACCCGGCTTGCTCTTGACTCTTCTTGTCTGCTACCTGCCCTGGCTTATTCTCCGGATCCTGCCGCTGCTTACTGTCTCTGCCTCATCTGCCTCCACTGTTGCTGACACTGGCCTATGACCCGACTTGTCTCCTGTCTGCCATCAATGCCTGATCTGCCTGTCTGTTGGCAGCCTGGCCTGTCTGACCCTGCATCCTGCTCATCCAGCCTGCTCCAGCTCCGCAGACCAGCACACCCTAATGTGGTTCATCTGCTTGCTACCAGCCTACCCTACCATGACATCTGCCTACTGCCACCCTGTCTGACACCAGTCTGTCCTGCTGTGACATCTGCCTGCCACCAACTACTCTGTTCCTGGCATCCTTCCAGCAAAGTGTTAGCTACTACCACGCAGACCACCAGACTGATCACTCATACCTCGCAGTGCTTTTGTGGTTACTGTTCCACTATCAGTGACCCCTGAACTGGAGCTTTATGAGAGGTCTTCCTCTGCACGTCAGGCTCACTACCAGGTACGTGAGAGCTCCTCGCCTGAAAACATCTTCATGGCAGCATTCATAGCACAAAAGGGGAATTTTATGCAAGGAGTATCATCACTCAGGTGTGCCTAGGGCAGAATAATGTTTAACCACTTGCCAACCGCAGATAGCAGAATGACAGCTACACTGCAGCTGGCCAGTTCTGGGAGAATGTCATATGACGTCCTCCCAGACCACGCTCTCCTGGGCGCCTTCGGGGGCGGTCACCCGGCGTTCTCCGTGATCGCTGTGTCTTATGGACACAGCTGATCATGTGATATTGGCCAATCACAGCGGCCTTTTACTACGTGATCTGCCATGTCCAATGACACAGCAGATCACTGGTATATGCAGTTGTCAGAGGAGGGATCAGCACTGATTATCAGGGCACTGATGATCAGTGCCCAGCAGTGCCACTCACCAGTGCCGCCCATCTGTGCCCAGCAATGCCACCCACAAGTGCCCAGCAGTGCCGCACACAAGTGCCCAGCAGTGCCTCCCATCTGTGCCCAGCAGTGCCACCATCTGTGCCCAGCAATGCCACCCATCAGTGCCCATCAGTGCCGCCCATCTGTGCCCAGCAGTGCCACCCACAAGTGCCCAGCAGTGCCACCCATCTGTGCCCAGCAATGCCACCCATCAGTGCCCATCAGTGCCACCCAGCAGTGCCCAGCAGTGCCACCAGTTAGTGCCACCCATCAGTGCCACCTATCAGTGCCCATCATTGTTGCATATCAGTGCTGCCTATCAGTGCCGCCTATCAGTGCCCACCATTGTTGCATATCAGTGTCAGCTCATCAGCACCACCTATCAGTACCACCTCATCAGTGCCCATCAGTGCGGCCTATCAATGCCCATCAGTGCTGCCTATCAGTGCAGGCTCATCGACGCACATCAGTGAAGAAGAAAAATGTTATAATAGAAACAAGGAAAAACTTTTTTTCAAAATTTTTTCTCTTTTTTCGTTTATAGCACAAAAAATAAAACACCCAGCGGCAAGTACATACCACCAAAAGAAAGCCTTATTTGTGTGGAAAAAAATGGTAAAAATGTCATATGGGTGCAGTGTTGCATGACCGTGCAATTGTCATTCAAAGTGCAACAGCGCTGAAAGCTGAAAATTGGCCTGGGAAGGAAGGGGGTATAAGTGCCTGGTGGGCAAGTGGTTAAATATGGCCCTGGGTATAGTGTTATGTATTTAAAACTAATCTTTAGATGTTTTACTACCATATCACTCAGATCTTCAAGCTGATTATGTCACAAATGTTCAACTTCTGCAGTCTTCCTATGGTTATATTAGGACATAACTCAGGACAAAATTAGGACAAAAAATCAGCTGGTGTGTGAGGGATTAACTTTCCTGCATTCAAAATAGGTAAGCAAAACGTGTTCCCAAATGATAACATTACAGGCAAAAGGCAGTAGAAGGACTGATGCACCAGTTGTATCTAAATAGAAACCTGAAGGGTTAGGGTAGGTTGGATACCTTCCCTGTATATAATTCAATACTTAATTTTCAATTTTGACTAGAATGTAATATTATTTTGATGCTTGTTTGTTTAAGTAGAATTGATTTTCCATTAGTCTGTTAATCCTAAAATTAAAATAATATTCAAGTAAAACATTAATATTATGTTTAAATAATAGATTTATTTCAGCATTCATTGTGATGTTAATAGTTCTCCAGGATGGGTCTGAATGAGCCAACTTTGCCATTCACAGCACCCCAGTCACTGAATCTCCTGTACTCTCCAGGTCTTAAGAGATACTGTCTTCCTTTGTAGTTGGGCTCCTCATAGAAGATCCAGTTCCCCTGAAGGACGTTGCAAGAGTGGATGTTATTGTATTGGAATTGTTCTTGGACATTGGAACAATCGCTGGAGAATTCTTTCATCTGACCTTTAAAATCCTCTTTCTCAAAGATCTTTATTTGCTGGGAACCTTTGTGCTATAAAGAAAACAAAAATATTGGCCATCGTAAAAACCAGCTTCCTCCACCTACTACTGCTTATTTTTTCATGTCTCTGCAACTCTTTTTATAGCTGCAGAGTCAAGATTAGAAGTGTGGACATACAAAAAAATTGAGAGACTTGAATATTTAACTTTATTAGTAGATAAGTTAAGGACACTATTCTTTCCTCCTCTAATGGCGCATCTGGTAAAGATGGATAACATTTATTCCACCATGGTTCCAATGTATCTCAGTGGGATTACTAAACTGAAAGTCAGTTTCCCTCTATCATCAGTTCTGAAATGCTCCCAACTTTTTTAAATACAGCTTTGCAAATTTATTTACAGCTTGTTTAAAGTGGTTGTAAAGGCAAAAGATGTATTACCTTAATGCATTTCCAGCATTAATGTAAAAAAAATTCCAATACCAGTGGCCCCCAGCCCCCCCAAACACTTATCTGAGTCCTCTCTTGATCCAGCACTGTGCCTTGCTTCAGCTCTTCTCTCTCTTCTTCCTGCTCTCACAGGCTAAAATGAGAGCAGCAGGAGCCATTGTCTCCTGCTGCTCTCAGTCAAATCATGTAAGAAGGGATATAGGGGTGGGGCCTGAGCCACGCTGTGTGTGTCTAAGGATGCATACAGCCCAACTTGGGATCAAGCCAAGAGATGGCATCTTGGATGGGATGTCTGCAGCCCATCAAACTTCACTCTTCCTCCAAAACTACATAATCGTTTACGGAAAGGTAAAACATATACGTATGTATATAAAATAATTTACTTTTCTGTGCTTTTATCTGCAATTTATTTTAAGCTGGCATCATAAATACAACCCTAGTTACAAGCCTTTGGGTGATTATAACACATATCTGTTTAGGGTGCTGGAATATCTATACATGGCTTCACATGTGAACAGACTACTATGTGTGGACTTGCACATGCTTTTTTGAGAATTCTTCAGGCACTCCAGTTAAATTCATCTGAGAACAAAATGCATGATCATGCCCTAGAGAAGCTCCTGTGCTTTTTCTGAGCTTTGAAAAATAGCACATTGCTCAAATATAAAAGGACACAATGGAATAACAGGAAAATATTGCATTGAGCAGTGAAGCGTTTCTGGATATGTGCTTCAGATTGCTCAGATGTGAATGGAGGCTGAAACATCCCTAGCCAATTATTCTCCTTTTACAATGTGTCATGGTTGGATACAGGGTTTTGTTTTCCCAGACTAAAATTATATATTGACATTCAACTTGAAAAAAAAAACATTCAGTTTAACATAGAAATGCAAGGCAAAACATATATAAAATCATTATAGTTACCTTTTTTTAATCGATCACATAACCTCTTTTCTCATTTGCAAAAGGGGTAGGTGTGGAGACTGCAGGGGTGTGTGTCAGCAGGGAACATAGAAGCCGCAACACACTGATCTTCTCAGTGATTAGCTGTGCAGAGGAAGCATTAGCACAAGTCTTGTCCATTGCAGGACAGGCAGGCTATGCTTCCAGCACAGCTAGAAAACTGACAATGCTAGGAAGGATAACACAAGTACATGGTACAACAGACACACATCAGGAATTTGAAAGGTTGCGTTAACATACACTTTAATTATTTGGCCATTTGCCTAAAAGCTACTATATTTTCTTTATATGTCCACAGAACATTGTTTTTGTAATGCTGTTCAACATGTGAGTGCAAAAACATAAATGCTATCAAGTAGGGGGTGCTTGTAGATACTTTGCTGTCACCCTAGGTTTCTAATGGCATGTTATTGCGTGTCCTTGCATTGACTTTGGTAAAATTGCACTTCTAAGCAGAACAGCAATGTTTTTTTTTCCATTTGTAACTTGTTTGACTAGGGTATTTTGGAGATGCAAATCTTTGATTTTCTTTTGTAATTCCATCTAGTCATACATGTAAACAGGGCCAGTGCTTACACTGGGCAAACTAGGCCACCAGTCTAGGGTGCACTGCCACCTAGGGGCACCTGGGTGCAGCACAGGCTGGCACTCTCACTGTGTGGGGCGCCACCACATCATGAATGATCCTTCAGCTGAGGGGAGGGGTGGCAAAGGGGGAGGAAGAAAGGAGAGAGGAAGATGCTGGCTGTCTGTGGCCAGTGTAGCAGCTGAGCTGCCGCTCCTTCCAGTGCTCCTCTCAGACTCAGTGCTTTGCTGAAAGCTGGTTGGGAGCTACTGATCACTGTGGAGTTGCAGCCCTTCTCTTCCCATTCATCAGCGGAGGTGGTGCTGTGCGTGCAGAAGTAGGTGATGTCTGACCCTGATGTCTCATGTCTGTGTGAGAGTGTGACCTGGCTGGCCATCCATCACATGTGCAATGTTTCAGTGAGTGATGACATCACTACGATCCCACAGCCTGCTCTTCTATTGCCTGTTGAGAATGCTGTTCTGTGTCAGTGTTGGTGGGGTGTGTTGTGTCGGATCTGTCACTGTGTGGGATTGCTCAGTTCAGGTGTTCTCTCTGTGTGTGTGGGCTGGGTTGCCTGCTGTGTCCATTGCCTGGGGAATTCCAGCCTGGGATCTGTCAGAGCTATGTTATGGCACTTATTATTGCAAATTAACCACTTGCCGCCCAGCCACCGCATATAAACGGTGGCAGGGCGGCACTCGTAGGCAAAAGCACGTTTTAAAACGGCTGCCTTAAAAACAGGTAGGGGGCGCACGCGAGGCACGCACCCGCCCTACCTGTCCCGTGGGTGTCAACAGCGGGTGTCAGCCGACGGGTCACGGCCGGTAAAAACCGTCCGTTTTTCCCGCGATTGACGGTGATCGCTGACACAGAGCAGGGCTGCATTGTTTACACACAGCCCTGTTCTGTGTCAGTTCTCTGACAGCTTGTGAGAAGCTGCAGAGTTTCTCTCCCTCGATCAGCTCCCCCCGCCCTCCCCCCGTCCAGTACACACCCCCGCCCCCTAGTAAAACACTCCCCTTACACTGCAAATTCGAAAAATGTTAACCCCTTCCTCCCCAGTGACATTAGTACAGTTTCAGTGGTTTTTTTTCACTGATCACTGTATTGGTGTCACTGGGGATGTCAGTGACCCCAAGTCAGTTCCCCCCAGTGTCAAAATGTCCGCCGCAGTCCCGCAGTCCTGCCATAAGTCGCTGGTCGCCGCCATATGTCGCTGATTGCCGCCAAAAGTCGCTGATCGGCGCCATTATTAGTATAAATAAAAATTTAAAATTCCAGTATCTTTCCCGCCATTTGTAAATGCTATAACTTTCACGTAAACCAATTAATTTACACGTATTGGGATTTTTTTTTAGCAAAGACATGTCGCAGAATGCATTTTTGGCAGAAATTTATGACTAAATTAGATTTTTGCATTTTTTTTTTACTGGACATGTTTTATAGCAAAAAGTCCAAAATATTGTTTTTTTTTCCTCAAAATTGTCAGCCTTTTTTATAGCGCAAAAAATAAAAACCGCACAGGCGATCAAATACCACTGAAAGAAAGCTCAATTTGTGGGAAAAAAAAGGATGTAAATTTAATTTATGTACTGTATTGCATGACCACACAATTTTCCGTTAAACTAGCGCAGCGCAGTATAGCAGAAAAATGGCTTAAATTGCAGTATTTATACCATAGTTTGTAGACGCTATAACTTCCACACAAAGCAATCAATATACACTTATTGGGATTTTTTTTACCAAAAACATGTAGCAGAATACATTTTGGCCTAAATTTATAACCAACTTTGAGTTTACTATATATTTTTTATAGCTGAAAGTAAAAAATATTGTTTTTCTTCAAAATTTTTGGCCTTTTTTTGTTTATAGCGTGAAAAATAAAAAGTGCACAGGTGATCAAATTACACCAAAAGAAAGCTCTATTTGTGTGAAAAAAAGGACGTAAATTTCGTTTGGGTGCAGCATTGCATGACCGCGCAATTATCAGTTGAATTAGTGCAGTGCCGAGTAGCAAAAAGAGGCCTGGTCATTAAGGGGTAAATCCTCAGGAGCTCAAGTGGTTAAAAAAAATGTAGCAATTTCATGTTTGGATGATTTAATATTTTCTATTGTTCTTTAAAATGTTTTAATGTTTTTTTTTCTTGGGGGGGGGCGCAAGTAGCTGGTCTTGCCTAGGGCGCAAAATAGTCTAGCACCAGCCCTGCATGTAAACCCTAACAATTCTTTGCTTATGACATGTTAAATTCACTGTTGAAAGCTATCCTGTGTCCTCTCGACAATTTATGTTAATCCAATGAGTCTATCTAGCCCTCACAGTCCTTATTTTGGGATTATATGTGAATCAGAGTCTATGATAGGGAGATGAAGACAATTAGATGGATTGAATTGTTTAACAAAAGTAAATTGGCCAAGGCTGGCAACACTCAGTCCACAAAATGTGTGTATTTAGAGCTTAATGCATTTCTGGCATTGTTTCTGGCATTGTTTCTATATGTGTAGGGTCTTTAAAGGGAAAACATTGACAAATGTGCATGCATTACAGAAATGTGCTGCACATGTTTTTTTTTACAACTTTGGTATCTCACTTGTTGGAGAATTGAAAATAAAGGCAATCCACTGCTTTTACTACTTACTGGCTGAATCATGCGACATGATCTGACGCAGTCATTAAATCCCATCCATCTCTGGTACTCAGGATACTCTCCCTTCTTCAGGTAATACTGATACCCCATGTAGTTGGGGCACTCGTAGATCATCCAGCAACCATTTTCCACACGGATGGAATTACATTGACCTACATGTTGATGCAGATCAGAGGAGTCTGAGCTACATTCATAGGAGCGTCCCTGAAAGTCTCTGTCCTCGAAAAAAATGATCTTCCAGAAAACAAAAAATACATGTATTTATTAAATACACAATATAACACATTTGTGATTTTGCTATCATCAGCCAGTCTAATTGATCAGTCCTCTGCGCAGGTTATACTCACACAATATAACATATGTATTCTAGAATTCTAGAAATACTGAAGCTAACCACAAATTCAACATACTGTATTTCAATTCTCACAGCATGTATCTTTATATTACTTTGTGCTCAAGCACCTGAACTCACATTCTCATTCAGCTCTAATTCAGATTGGAGCTGTAATGGTAGTAAATTGTTTTGTGAATACAGATGAAACCTACTTATTATTCTGCAATTGTACACAGAACCGACTCAGTTGAAACCGGAGACAATCAGAAAATCAAAAATAGGTGTATATTACTGTCCACACCAGGATCTTGTGTTCTTAAAGCTAAATCCAGCCATAAGGGCTGGTTATATACAAGTAAATCTTCATAAAGAATGATAAATTTTAAGGGATCCTCCAGCACTTGTTGACATTGCTAGGACTCAATTAAACTTTTATCTTTTATTGAGCCTAAATTTTGCTCAGACATGATATAAAAGGCTTATATTCTTCCTAATGTTTGGAAATGCTAGGTATATGTCAGGAAAAAACCATGCCCCCATCAACTGTTAAAAGTTATTCATGTTGCTTCAAGGGAAGATGATATCATATATATCTTTGCTTAGAGTGCACCTGTACCATACCATGGACATTAACATATTTACACACTCTTAACAAGCAGTACAAGATTTTTTAAAACAATTCCTTAAGACCTCTTTAGAAGTCGATTAGGAGCTACTGTACAGATACAGCTAGGATATGTAGGACTTCTGGCACGTGTCAGGTCATGCTTAATGTGCATTTGGGTCAAGGGAGGGTGGGATAGGTTAAAGTGGTTGCAAACCGCTGACATGAAATATGAACAAAGCATATCCTTCTATAGTATGTATTTGTCTCAATCCAGAGCACTAATCAGAGTCACTTTTGAAAAAAGTTTTCCTCACACCAATAAAAAAAAAAATTATGGGAGGAACCTCCAACACACAGCTTGTGATTGACAGCCTCAGCTCTGTTCCAGTGTGCTCTGTGAAGGGGGGATGTCTCATTCCTCCAATCAGACCTCAGAGCTCTTCTCACATTACATAGTGTAACTTCAGCTCAAAGCCGCCAGCTGTCTGAAAGCACAGACAAGCTTTATAAATTCTGCACTTAGAATAGATGAAGAGAAAATAAGGCTACAGATAGAGAGGTACAAGTTATGCAGGAGGATTTGTTTCATCTCTGTGTACCACATGAGGCCAGTCATTTCACTGGGTATATGTAAGGGTTTACAACCACTTTAACTGAGAGAAAGAGGCAAAAAGAATAAATCCACTTTGTTTTATAGTACACTTATCCTTTATTACCAAAAAGTATGTTTAATTACTTTGCAATTGCTAATCTAAAAATAAACGGGGCTTGCTTCTTTTACAACTGGAGCAGTTTTAGGTGAGTAGTATTTCAAAACCATTTTATTCAGTTCATGCTATGAGAAATAGCATACTACTATAAAAACTACACTGTACAAATGTATGTATTATTACCCAACAATTCACAAATATGATCTATATATGAGGTCCCTGGCTTCCAAGAAACAGTAACTAAGACAACATATTTGATGCAGTAGTACTAAATGTTGAAAAGTTAGTCATATAGTTATAAATATCAAATGAACTGATGCATACTGGAGCTGCTAATTGTGGCCTGGATATCTATACATTTTGAAGGGGTAACAAACAATTTAAAGGTATTATATATACATATATATGATAAAGATTTTTATCATTTTGGTAGTTTTACAATGCCACACAGTTGGACTGACAAAACAATGCTTTTAACTAATTTGTTGAAATATTTATGCCTGAAAAGGTTATTAGAATTATTTTTTATTCTAAGTTATATATTTTATAGCATGTTTTTTTTTCTTTTAGTTTTTTTTTTACTGAATGAGAGAGTAATCTATATAAAAGAGCAGAAGATTATTTCTACACAACTATTATAAAATGATGATGACGATGATGATAATAATAATAACAAATACTGTATAAAAAGATATAAACTAGCTTAGTGTTACCTTTCCCATCCTGAAACCAAATGAACAATGAATACTGCAGGAGCCACTGGGAAAATAATTCATGCCCTTTAAATACTCTGTTTAGAAAATCCACACCCTATCTATTTTATTATCTTATTACAGTGTTTTTTTTATTTTTATTTGGAACCACAGGCTAATGAATATAGACATGCTTTGTTCTTTTTTTGCGTCATTCTTTAATCACACTGTTGAAGTACTTTGTTATTTGCTGAATTTGCCTTCCTGTTATTCAAAGTGATTAATCTATCCAGCGGAATGAAAACTCATCAGCACATTTCCTGGATATACAGAGATTACATGTGATAGAAGGTAGGAACAGAGCAAAGAGTAGGCAACACTTTTACAATAGCAACCTGTGATAATAATGAATTATATTTTAAATCTACTTTGTAACGTAACGACAAAATAAGTACTTTAAGTTAGGAATATTTGTGGTGATGTTTGTTTTTTGTATTTCAAGGTATTATAGTACAGTTATGTTGACTTGTCTTAAAACTGGTGAAGATAAGACACCATGGGGATAATTTACTACAGGAGAAGAGAAGGTTTTCTTACCAAAGAAAAAGGTTCACTCAGCCTTTTGTAAAGAATAGACCATCGATGCCTTATTTAAAGGGCCATATTTTATAGACTTGTCCTTGTAAACTAAATCAAATTAGTGGGGTTTTTTACTAAAACCTAAAAGTGCAAAATCTGGTGTATGCTCTGCATAGAAACCAATCAGCTTCCAGGTGTTATTGTCAAAGCTTAATTGAACAAGCTGAACCTAGAAGCTGATTGGCTACCATACAAAGCTGCACCAGATTTTGCACTCTCCAGTTTTAGTAAATCATCCCTAGTGTTATGTAAAATTTTAAATTCCCTTAAATATAGTTGGTGGTAGTAAACCTGATAATTGAAAAAAAAAGCTTCTCCCCAGCAAGGCAATGTCATAATGTGCTAGCAAGGCCAGAACAAGGGGGGCAGAAAGGGGCGGAAGTCCTGGGCGCAACCAGAGTTGTAGAAGAGTGTTGGAGTGGTCCCTGCGCTCCTCCTGTACCCGCCCAGCACTAGTAGTATCAGATGAGTTCTGGAGGCTGGAGTGGCGCTCTACCTATACCCGACCGACACTAGTGTAGTGGAATGCCAAGTGCTGGAGCGATCCCTGCATTCCTCCTGTAACAGGCCAGAGCTAGTCTAACACCTGCACATTACCACTTCTCTGTCAGGCAGAGTGATTGCCACCCAACAAATGACTACTAGTCCTGGCCTTTGACATGACTTACTCAGAGGGCAGAACAGGACGATAGAGCGGTGCCAATGCAGCAAGGGAATGCTGAAGTCAAATTTGAATAACAAAAGTTGCAGTGCTTGACACAGTGTAATATTGTTTAAAGTGACTCAACAATAAGTCTGTTCCTGTGAACTGGACTGGTTAACTATTTGAGGAGTGTGGGGGGTTCTGTGATGGGGGTAAAGGGATTAATTATTAATGCTATTAGTCAGTAATATGCAGCAGTAAGGGGTTAATGTACTGCCACTGGTCACTGATGTATTAATGACCAGGGGCAGTTAATTAACCCCTTTTTGCTGTATTAGTGGCACCAGTGTCAGTGTTAATTAACCCCTTTATGCTGCAGCTTGAATGGATTAGCAAACACTGCCACTGACCACTAATGCAACACAAAGGGGTTAATTACCACTACCCTCCAATGAGGAGGGATCTTTTAATTAGAACTACCACTGACCATCAGCCTAGAGTCACATGTATGCGGGGGTGCAGGACTGCGTTTATATCGCACACATTCCTTCAAACGTGATGCTGCTTGGAAAATATGTGGGGGTGCCATTAACCCTAAATGTCACCCCATGCACTGAAAAACACAGTGCGGTTTGCCACACACGGTAATCACATGGTGCAAAAACACATTTTTTAAAATAGAAAAAAGGTGCAGAAAATGCAGCCATAGCAGCTCACACACAGCTGCATTTATGTGAACCGGGCCTCAGTGCAGAAAGATTAACCACTTTAAAACCCAGCCAATTCAAACATTTCTCACATTTTGTTTGCTATAAAATTACTTAGAACCCCCAAACATTATATATTTTCTGAAAGAAGAGGCCCTGGAGAATAAAATTGTGGCAGTTACACATTTTTATGTCACACCATATTTGCGCAGCAGTTTATCAAATGCAAATTTCCAGGAAAAAACACACTTTAATGAATTATAGTGCACAAAACACAATATAATACGCAATTGTTTGTAAAATATAAACGATGATATCCATAGGCGATACTTTAAAAGCATTTATAGGTTACTAGTTTAGAGTTAAACAAGAGGTCTGGTCCTAAAATTTTTGCTGCTCCCTGACCATCTAGCTGATGCAGATGCTTAGGGCTGCACAAATGCCATTGCTTGATGCTTTACTTCATGGCAAAAATTGAATGGCTGGGGCCATGCTGCAACTGTGTGCCAGAGAGTTAAAATGGGCAGCAGGGGGAGGGATTCTGAAATATCACCTCCTCACTGCCTATCAAATGCCCTCTGAAACATTTTCAGAGGGGCAGCAATGATAGCCACACATCCGAATGAGCCCTTTCAGTTCTTCTTCTTCCCTCAGAGCTCCCCTAGATCCCTTTGGTTCTCTGCACCATTCAGAGCCCAGCTCCTGTGCATGGGACTCATGTTTTACAGCACCCAGCTCTGAAGGAACAGCACGGGCATGCCATTCATTCAGATCACATGCGCTGGTGCTGCTACACAAGTAAATATCTCCTAAAGAGTACAGTACCCCTTAGGTAAGCCTTATTATAGGCTTACCTGTAGGTACAAGTAAAAAACAGACTTTACTACCACTTTAAAGCATATTTCTAATTTTGCAGCCAATTTGGGATAACACCTGCTTCATACTTGTTACATGTCCCCATTTACATAGTATTACTAAAAAATATTTAAAAATTGCAGCTTACATTTTTTAGATGCTCTATTCAAAGAAAAAAATGCTACATAATTCTCTTTATTTGTGAGGGGGGCTGGGCAGCTATGTTGCCATAATTAACCATACCTGTACTATGCAGGCAGATCTACATTATTAATTGTAACTAGTTTTGAGCACTGTCTGCCCTAACAAAGGGTTAGAAGTTTAGGGGCTGGGCTTCTTTCATTATATGGCAACAGACTTGGGACATACTTGATCTAACATTGTTCTAAAAAACCGTTCAGTTGGTCATTGCACCTTGTCCAGAAAAACACTTAAAAGGTAAGAAATTAAGAAAAAAAAAAAGAAGTATGCTGTGTGAATGGAAACACATAACAAATGTAGTGGGTGCAGCGATCCCCCCCGCTTGCTTTCCCCGCCAAGCATCGGCGGTGAAAAGTTACAGGAGCAGGCATGAGGAAGGACTGTGCTGCCCCCTGCTCAGCCCACCGCCGCCACTGTGAAGGGATAGAGTGACTCTCTTTGTCACTGCTTTCTCGCCCCCTTCCTCCTGTCAGTGTGGGAAGCCATAGAAAACAGGAGAGGACGGGAGCAGGATACTTTTTTGTCTTTCCACGGCCTGGTCTGGCCCTTCCGCAGTCAGTGCACTCCTCTCTCCAGATCTCTCCCTTCTCACTTCCTGTCTCATCTTCCAGACTTTCATACAGTATATAAATGTCTCTACCCGCACGCCAGCTCCTCTGGGAAATGTAGTTCTTTACTACACTGTTCTCTAGCATAGTCCTATGGTTCAGCATACAAGTTCCACGGGGCTGCTCTACAGAGTTTGAATACCACTGTTCTGCAGGACACTGTCATCTTGTGTTTGTTTTAACATCCTACATCCACTTGTAGCAGGGTGTTACATTATTATTATTTTTTTTTACTCGTGCACACTCATTATCCTGTTAATCTCTGGACCTCATTCAAATAGTTAAATTTAGCCTAGTGAAAAATGTAGGCTGTGTACACTTTGGGGTGGATTTACTAAATGCAAATAGGCTGCAGTTGCTTTCTGCAAAGACAGTTGCTCCAGAGCTTAGAAAATTAGGTGAAGCTTCACTTTGCAAAAAATTCCCAATCATATGCAAAGAAAATGCAAAAAACATGATTTTTTGCTTGCTGCCTGGATGATGGAAGTCAGCAGAGCTTCCCCTCATTTACTAAGCTCTGGAGCAACTGTACTTGCAGAGTACAACTCCACTTGCAAAGCGCATGGCCTATCTGCCGTTAGTAAATCAACCCCATTAAATACCATACAAAATTCAGGGGAATTTTATACTGTGCACCTAATTGGATGATTTAAAGTAGAATTCCAGCTAAAGCTAACTATAAAAATGCTCCCCCTCCCTCCTCCTAATACTTATATTAACTAGCTATTAATAGCATAAAAAGATGTATATATGTACCTATTACCGATATGCACTATGGGAGCCTATGGGTGACACCGTTGCTCCCGGTTTTCCCAGCAGTTGTCAGGCATTCTCTCCATTCTCCTGCAGTTGCCACTGGTGGACAAGGGGGATCATGTGACTGGACCAGAGCAAGCCAAAAATAGGTAAGTATATACAGTACATCCTATTTACACAAGTTAGTATAGATGTTGGGAGAGGGGAGGGAGAATTTTAAGATTAGTTAGGCCTTAGCTGGAATTCTATTTTGAATTCTATTTTGAAGTGAATCACTTCACTTTTCTTTACTGCTTAAGTAAACATTCTTGTTACTAAATATATATTCTTTTATTCTTTACAGCTGCTGTTGACCAAAGATTGTGAGAGCTGATACAGACATGTGAGGTGTGGATTGAAGCTCAGGTTTCACAGCTAATTGACAAAGTAGTTCAGCGGTTCAGGTCAGGTTTACTTTGGTTGCAAAAAGAAAATGAGGCTATAGAAAGCCCAAAAGGAAGTTACCATGCAGATACTTTGGCTTAAAAAACAAAAAGACTTTATTATATAAAAATTAGAAAATACACCTAATTTTCAGCCAGGTAGGTATTTTTGGATTGGGACTCACTATGCAGAATCTACTCTTGTGTAAATGTAAAT